GTGACTTAGTAAGTAGTTACTATATACACAGGTAGCTTAATAGAGACCCTAGTAAAATAACTACTTACTAAACCTTAACCATAAAACCTCGCACACATGGGCAGCTTCAAAGAGAAGGAATCCGCACCTGGCGGGTTGACCTCGGCGGGAGGCCCATGGTGAGGTATTTTTTGGGGTTCTCTGAGGACTGCTACTTGGATGATGCAGGGAGTATGTGTTTTTTGTAGGGTCTGCGTAGGGTTTTCGCGAGGGTTTCTGGCGAGTTTCTGGAAGGTTTTTAGGGCGTTCCAAATACAACGTCCTTACTTACAAGCCTGCTTATTAAGTCCCTCCCCTGAAGGAACCCCTATACATCCTTTAAAGGAACCTTTAAAGGGAACCCTGAAAGCAACCCTCAAAGGGACCCGTAAGGGTGCGGGCGCTTCTCAGAGCTGCAGAGGTCATGTTGGGCCTAAGGCTCAGAGATGGATCGAGGCCTAGAGTTCAGGGTTAAGGGTTTAGGATTTAATCCTTAGGGTTTAGGGTTTAGGGTTTAGGGTTTAAGGCTTAGGGTTTAGGGTTAAGGCTTTAGGCTTTAAGGCTTAAGGCGTAGGGTTTAGGGTTAAGGGTTTAGGGTTTAAGGCTTAGGGTTTAGGGTTTAAGGCTTCTTAGGGTTTAGGGTTGAGGGTTTAGGGTTTAGGGTTTTAAGGCTTAGGGTTTAGGGTTGAGGGTTTAGGGGGTTTAAGGCTTAGGGTTCAGGGTTAAGGGTTTAGGATTTCGATTTAGGATTTAAGGTCCGAACCTCCAGGCACGGGTGCAAATCCGATCCCAGCCAAACTCCGGCTGATAGCACGAAAGTTCGAACTAGGAATCTTATGTTTTCGGATTTTCGGACTTAGCATTTATCTTAGGATTTAGGATGGAGGGTTGGGGAAATTCTGATTTTGGGATTGGAGCTAGCTTGCAAGTTTTGGTTCAAGGTTTACGGTTGATGGTTTAGGGTTTGGGATCGAGAACCCTCGAATCTGAGGTGTCAGCGTAGAAAGGTTCCATTGTACTCATGGACCTCGCGAAGGAAAGACTCGCAACGTGGATCTCAATTGGGCCTTACATACACTATCAAACACAACAGACCATACATTGCTGATGCTCGAAAAACTTCGGGGCTCCTTCCTGGTGTCCATATTAGCACACATTCATTGCCCGTAGGAACCTGTGAGGCTCCACGTAGATCCTGTGGAAACAGCACCCCCTGGGCTCAAAGCCGCTGGAGGGTGTTGCTTTCGAACTCTTCCGGGTCTAGGCTTCAGGGAAGAACTCGTCACAAACATGTCAAAAAAACATAGATAACACAGAACCCCTTAGAACAACCTGGTCTCAAATCCCCTACATCTGAAACCCTAAACTTGAAAAACCCTAGCCTTACGCACATCACAAAACCAGCCTTCGGATCCTCCTTTTTCAAGGAACCCTTACAGGAACCCTTGTAGCATCCTTAAAGGATCCTGCAAAAAAGAAGAAGGAACCCTTAAAGGACCCTTAAAGCAGCTCTCTGAACGGAAGCCTTCAAGAAACCCCGTAAGGGGCCCGAGACCCAGAGCCCAGAGACCCCAATACCCCTTAATTAAGGAATATACCTTAAATCATATTGGGGGTCCTATTATAAATTATAATTTAAGGTATATTCCCCTAAACCCTAAACCCTAAACCGTTTTGGAGTCTCTGGGAGCCCAGGACGCCGGGCCGGCGAGGATGGCGACGTCCCCCGGCGCTTCGATGCGCCGCTCCGCTGCGGGCAGAGCGCCTGAGATCTGGGTCCCTTAAGGGTTCCTTTAAGGGCTTTTTTAGGGTTTAGGGTTTAGGGTTTAGGGTTTAGGGTTCCCTTAATGTTCCTTTAAAGTTTCCTTGAAGGGTTCCTTTAAGAAGTCCTTTAAGGTTTCCTTTTCCTTTAAAGTTTCCTTGAAGGTTTCCTTTGAAGGGTTCCTTTAAGGTTTCCTTTAAGGTTTCCTTGACGGGTTCCTTTAAGGGTTCCTTTCAAGGCTCAAGGATTTGGGGTTTAGGGTTAGGGTTGAGGGTTCGGGATGTCGGGGTTTCTATAAGGTTTTTGGGGTTAAGGTTTTAGGATATATGGGTGGTTGTCAAAATTATGGTCCCTTCTTGGATCCCTATTGTAATACGGCACCTATTATTTAAGGTACCCCAAAAGGGACCATAATTTTGACAACCACACATATATAAGCTTCGAGGTTCAGGGGTTAGGGTCTAGCCGGACAAACAACGGGATCCAAGTCTAGGGGCCCCACTGAAACTGAAGGACAGCCCCCAGAAACCGGGAGGAGCCAGAGACAGATCCTTTGGTGACTTAAGGCTCCCAGAGGCTCTAGTGTTTAGGGTTTAGGGTTTAGTTGTCGCTTTCAAGAGTCCCCAAAAGTACTTACCATTGGGGCTCTATATTAATCCATAAAGGGAGATAAACCTATGATACCTAGCTTTGGGGTTTTAGGAGGTGCAGCTTCGGGTCCTCTGTAGCCGTTTTGGTGCACTGGGGTATACCTACAAAAAAAGAAATTATGCGGATTGGTGTTCAGGGGTTTAGGGTTTAGGTTTTAGGGTTTAGGGTTAACGCTCTTGCACAATGGCAATTCGCTTCAGCACGACCCCGTGCTGAAGCCCACAGTACAGTAGACCCCAAAAAGTTGTAAACCGGTTTAAGGACAAATAGTGCTGGGATTCCCTATACATTACTCTAAAGGATGAAGGCTATTGGGTTTCCAACTTTTTGGCTTCTGCTGTAATTCTGTCCTGGCAAGCCTTTGTTTGGGAGTGCTCAAAATCAAAAACCTGCTAGAGCCCCTGATAAGGACTCGTCTCGAACCCTTATCCCAAGCCCTTGGGAGGATCCCAAAAGTAGATCCCTTAATGGGGGTTCCTATAAAGTACCCTTATTAGTATAGGGCCACAAATTCGGGGATCTACTTTTTAGATCCTCCCGGGCATCTGGGATGAAGCTGTTCAGAAATCCTGAGGCCTCGTGCAGGGCCTTATCCAAGCAGCTTGTTTGCTCCATGCTGGGCTTGATGGAAACAATGCTTGACGACCCGAAACCCCTAAACACTAGACTCCTACAGCCTAAACCTTAAAACCCTGAGGCCTAAAACCCAGACACCCGGACTTCTTTGAACCCTAAAATCTGAACCCTTAAACCCTAAACCCCAAACGAATGGCCAAGGGTGCCTCTGTTAGGGCTGCCGCGATGGAAGGCTTCTCAGCCACCATCAACACCTGCCGGCTCCACGCACAAAAGCTCCAAAAAGTGCATGGCCCTCGGAAACCCTGACCCTCAACTCGTGGGGCTTCGTTTAATTGAGAGTCTCCGAAAATTGGGGATCCGTATAATCAGGATCCTACTGTTCGGGGTGCTATATTAGAGTCGCCTATTTTCGGAAACCCCCATTTCGAAAATGCAATCACCTGCTCGGAACCTGATGCACGCGGCTCCTGTCAGTCATCGGCAAAAACAGCCGAAAACAACAAGGCGCTCTCTCTCTACGACCGTAAGTCCTTCGAATCATGGAAAGCCTGAAACTTGAGGCCTAAACCGGGTATTCAGCACAGATGACACAAGCCGCCCCTCTAGCATCCAAACCTGAAATGCCTGGAGTTTCACGGGTTCGAGATGGATCAGCGGCACTTGAAAGCGTGTCAAGGATTGCAAATAGGACGTCTACACCCGGTGGTCAAACAGCCAGGCTCATATAGAGGCCTTAATAATTAGAATAAGGTTTTGGGATAGCTATACTACGATTGTGATAAGGAGCTATATTAAAATTGTGATAAGGAGCCCCAAAATAGTGTTGGTAGTCACGAAATCCCATGACTGAGTCTCGAGCGACGAGTTCTCCGCCAATCATCCTGCCTAGGATCAGAAACAAAAGGCCTCTCTTTTTGGTATTGGGTAACTTTATAAGGAACCTAGGACTACAAAAAGGGAATAAGGGTACTACTGGGCATCCTAGCTGCTCACCGAACAGTGTCGTTGGAGCGGTCGATGCACGCGTCGGCAAGGCGCACCATGAGCTGAGCTACAACCGCCCAGAACGGTTGACGAGGTAAATCCTGCATGACCTTAAGGACCCTAAACTATGGGAATTCTGGTATATTCCTTATTATGGGTAATGCAAGATTTATATCATCAACCGAAGGACATCAGATAAGGGGCTTTTGAGCTGGATCAGGTCGTCGGGTGCTGGGTGTGCTTCGTTGCGACATAACGGGGTGCACAGTACAGGCTCCAGCTTTCCTGTAAGCATGCTAACGAAGCCAAATGGCCCTAGACACAGTATGTATACATGCATGCATACAAACATTCATCCATACTCCACCACGATATGCATGTATTCTGCAAGGTAGATAGCTAGCCGCCACGCGGGGAGATGGAAATTCTTGGGGTGCTTCTTGACATACGGGGTTCCCCTACAATAAATGGCAAACGTGGGGCTTACCTTCAACCAGTCTCTCCAAGAGTAGTTAGGGGCTCGGATTTCAGCTTGAAGTGAAGGCTTTAGGGGGTATGAGGTTCAGGGATCAGGGCATCGCGGGCCACTACTGACGTGATCCCGCTATCTGCACCGAGCCATGGTTCTTTCGTTCTTTCGGCAAGTTGAGAACAGCTTGAGACATTTCCGGTGTCCAGCCAGCCCTCAGCTGCAATCCCTCTGCGTGATACTACTGGGCGGCTGCCTTCAGCAGACGCCTTTCAGCACAGCCGTGCAAAAAAAAGGGACTGTGTGCTTTCTGACCAGCAGCAAACATTGACAAATTGGACTGGACCTGATGCGCGGAAACGTTACCAACAAGACACGGATCTATGATTTCGGTGATTGGAGGAAAGGATACTGTATGAGAATACAGGATATGATATCACAATGATACGATATGATATTCTAAGATATTATATTGCAGATGAGAATACCCACCGGTCGTGTCTTCCAGTCTTCCCGGTTGCTCTCTAGATGCAGGTCCTATCTCAGGCTGATGACCAGCCAAAAGCTCAGGCTTAAAACCGCCGAGCGTTGGCCGTTTGCCGAAGCCAGGCCATTCCCTGACGCATTGAAATTATCTGTCGTGGATGTCCCGGTGCTCACTCTGGAAGCCTCGGTAGTCTGCCCGGAAGCCTCGGTCGTTGGACTCGAAGTCGTAGGAGAAGGGTCCGAAAGTAGGCATGTCGTGTTGATGTCCGATGGCGCTGCCCCAGTCGCACACTGCAACGGAGGCTGTTGGGAGCAGCTCCCGGGAACAAACACACCACAGCGACAAGGGAAATCTGACGGGTTGTAGGTGTGGTTGCCCACCATGTACCTGCGTTCTTCTTAAGGGATTGAGTTCACGTCACCATGATATGGAACCAGGAAACCATACTATTTGCTATAGATCCCATTATAGTAACTTAAACTAAGTCTCATAACAAAAACCCAGGTACACACCACAGTCCCAATTGTTTTCGGCGCAGAGCTTGAAGCTTTCACGCATGGAAACACAGGGATCAGGCCAGTAGGATACAATCGACCATTGGCAGTCATCCAGCAAAACAAAGACCTTGCCCCACCTTTCAACGTAAGTTGCCGAATAGGTGGACAACGCCTCTGTCACCCTGTCCGCGAAGTCTTCTTCACGACAACTCGTCTTCTTGAAAGGCACATCCAAGGTACTACTATCCAAGTTGAAGTTGTCAGTAAGCTTGCATGTCAAGGTTGTGCTGTCCACGGGCGTTGCATTGCACAAATGCGACGGCTTTCGATCGCAGGCCTCAAATTGAAAAAAAATTGAGAGTTGAATCGCAGACCTACAATAATGCAGGAACCAGATTCAGAAACCTTGTGTCCTTATTGGGGGCCCTTATATGAATCCTAATATATTGGGGGTTATAGGGCCAAGGCTTCTTCATCAAGTTCCTACGTTATCATGGCCCATTATTCCCTGATTCCTTGGATGCCTCCAAAGACGAATAGCAAATGCTCAGGGAGACACGGAGCCCTAAACCCCAAACCCTAAACCCTAGACCCGAAACCCTAAACCCTAAACGAGCCCGCTAGACCCTAAATCCAAAAAAACACCTCGAGCCATGGAGCCGTAAAAGTGCTGTGCATACTGGAAGCCGTGGGCCACAGGAGTCCACCCCAGCCTTCGGTGAGATCGCACGTTTTCCAGGCCGCATCTTCCGGGGTAAAGGCCAGGACCATGACCTGCGCCACGGGTTTAGGGTTGGGCCTTGGTTGGGGTTTAGGGTTTAAGGACAATGTATGAAGTTAAGGCTTAGAGTTGAAAGGAGTCGGGCTTGTAGTTTAGGGTAGGGAAATAAAGGAAAGTCACAAGATGCCGACCAGTCGCCTGGTTGTCATCAAGCAGAATCTCGAAGTTTGCACCCAAACAACCACCATGCCCCGCCACTCGTCGTCCATCTCTGGAGTAGATGGAGAAGGTCCGGCCGTAGGCTTGTTCTACCCCATGCCTCAGCCCTAAACCCTGCCCTGAACTTCCTGAACCTTAAACTAAACCCTCAACCCTAAATGCTAAACCCCAAACTCCTAGACTTTCCTAAACCCCTAAACCCCTAAACCCTGGACCCTAAACCCTCAACCCGAACCCCGAGACCTTAAACCCCAGCAACCAGCAGCAGGAAGGCATGCCGCAAACTCGCAGTGGAGTTAGGGCTTGGGGCTTCATGTTTAGAGCTTAGGGCTTAGGGTTGAGGGGGGTTTGGGTTTGGGCTTAGGGAAGCCGGAAACACACACAGAAGACTGCAATGACTTTCTTTGGCTGTTATTCATGAAGTCATAGCCAAGGATGCTTGCGGATAGGTGACAACAGGTCCACAAAGTCCTGGTGTTTCAAGCCCGTTTTTGCGATGGCGTCCGACTGGTTGTTGTAACCTAGGTTTTGCAATGTCCCCTTAATAATAAGGGTGCCCTTTGTTCCTGGTACTCAGTTACCCTAAATCCTAAACCGAGGAGGGTACCACTGCCCCTAAACCCTAGACCCTAAACCCAAGAAGACTGAGGAACCCTAAACCGCCGAAACCCTAAACCCTAAACCGAAAAGGGTAAACTCCGCTGAACCCTGAACCCTAAACCCCTTACAGAAACCTTTATACGAACCCTACACCCCTCACAGAGACCCTTATAAGAACCCTTGAAGGAACCCTCAAAGATGCTTTTCAAAGGAACCCTTATAAGGACCGTTAAAGGGACCCCTTAAAGGAACCCTCAAAGATCCTCTTAAAAAGAACCCTCGAAGATCCATGTAAAAGGAACCCACAAAGATCCTTTTAACGATCCCTTAAAGGAACCCTCGAAGATCCTTGTAAAAGGAACCCACAAAGATCCTTTTAACGATCCCTTAAAGGAACCCTCAAAGATCCTTGTAAAAGGAACCCACAACTATCCTTTTAGATCCCTCAAAGATCCTTTTAAAAGGAGCCCTTGCGACACCGAGGAACCGTCCAAGAGCCACTGGCCGTAGAGGCCAAGGTCGCTAAGAGTCGCTCGGAGGCCTCCGGCGGCATTGCCTGGGGCTTTTAAAGGGGATCCTCTTAAAGGGTACCCCTTCTGAACCCTAATTTGGGTTCTCTTAAAAGGGACCTTATTGAGAGGGTCTATATCCCCGGTTTTGGGGGTTTAGGGTTTTAGGTTTTGGGTTTAGATTTTCAGGGTTTGGGTTTAGGGTTTAGGGGTTAGGGGTCAGGGTTTGGAGGTTCAGGGGTTTAGGGTTTTTAAGCGTTAAGGGTTCAGGGTTTAGGGTTTAAGGTCATTTTCCAATGAACCCATACAAGGTTTAAACACATATGAAAAGGAGTGTTTAGGGTTTGGGGTTGAGGGTTGAGGTTTTGGGTTTAGGATTTAGGACTGAGGGTTGAGGTTGAGGATGGAGTCATGTGGGTTTAGGGTTTAGTCTCTTGGATTTATGATGATTTATGAGATTACCAAGGACACTTGCGCAGGAACTTCCATGAAGTCGTGATATTGCGGTATGTAGTGGATCATACGCCTTTCTCACTCTGGCAGCTCAGACTACTTGGAGGGTCGGGGGGCCTTAGTAAGTAGTGATATTAACCCTAAACCCTAAACCGAATTTTGAATAGAGCTTTCTGTACCACAACCCCAATAAAGGTGCTACTCACTCCCCCGACCCTCAAAGTAGACCCCTTGAAGGCACCCTCATCGGAGCCCTTAGGGAGCCCTCAAAGGGAACCCTTAAAGGGAACCCTTAAGGGAGCCACCTTCCAGGTAAGCGCCCATCAAAGGGTAAAAAAAGAGGGACACCTAATAAGGACCCCTAGGTATATACCATAATATAGCCAATAGCCCATTATAGGGTAGTAGTCCCCATTAAGGGTCCCTCCTTTTCCCCTTTGAGCCTAAACCCTAAACCCTAACCCCGAAACCCTAAACCCCTAAAACCCTAAAGCCTGAACCCTAAGCCCTAAACCCTAAACGCCCAGTTGCCATCCACCGCTTCTGCACTAGACATGCCCAGCGGATCGAAGATCAAAGTCTTGGTCAAAGCTCGGAAATCCATTCCACTGATGGTCTCCTCTTGAAGATTAGGGTTCCCATAATAGGGTTCATATTAAGGAATCCCATCCCCTAGAATCTCAAACGCCCCTTTTGGCCTCCCATCACGCAGAAGCGGTTCAGGGTTCCGGGGTCAGGTTTGGGGGGGTACTTGGAGGGTTGGGGGACTTAGTAACTGATTATTTTAGGGACTTATAAGTACCATAACCCCAGTTAGGGTCCCTTTTAGGGTACTTATAAGTCTACTTACTACCTACTTACTAAGTCCCCCGATCCTCCAAGTAGGGGTTCGCTTATGGGATCTTTTCGGGTTCAGAGGCTTTCAGGGGGTTATATGAGGTTTAGGGGTTTCAGGATTTAGGGCTTTAGGCCTGAGCCCTATAGATCCCTTTAAAGGCACCCTTACAACTCCCCATGAACCTCCAAGTAGGGTTTACAGTGTAGGGCTCCAGGGTGCAGAGTCCTCAATGAGAGCCAAGATCTCCACGCCATCCCAGTGAACATAGGTCATCTCCTAGGTTAAGACTTTAGGGTGTAGGGGTTTAGGTTTAGGATTTAGGGTGTAGGGTATAGGGTATAGGGCTTAGGGTTTGAGGCATGGTCAGTTTGTGGGTTGGCCCTTTAAAGCACTTGAAACTTTGCTCGTAACTGAGATCCTCCAAGGCCCAAAGAAAAGAAAACGGAGAATGTCCCAAAGGCCGACCGAGTTTCGGTGTTCAGCTCAGGGGTGCAGTTTGGCAAGGGTGGATGATGCAAGCTGTTGTTCACGACCACCGTACGATATGCCGGGAGTCCGCCGGCGATGTGTTGCTGCCAGGCTTCTTGCATGAGTTCTTGCGATCTCGGCGCGCCCTCAGAGATGAGGCAAGCAGTATGCGAAGCTACATCGAGGAGCGACGTATTCTCGTAGGCTGTGCCAGCTGCTAATGGCAACCACTGATGTAGCTTGTCATTCCTGGTTTGTGTTCTTGGGCATAGACAATGTGTAAACTTCGGCTGCTAAGTTACCCACGCAAAATTATAAAAAAAAACAATCCTCAACCGTAGACAGACATGTGTGAAAAAGTGATTCTGGTCATGCTGCAAAGAATCCACGAAATCTCTGGCAAACTTTCATTTGCCATCAGGATTTGCATCACCACCCCCACCAAGGTTTTGGTAATGGAAGCATACGACCATCTCACGGCCGGCGGATTCACGGCAGCCGTCTTGCTGGAGTCACCTTCACGCTGGTACGAACCCACTGCTACTTGGGCCAGTTCGTTGCAACTGTTGCGAACCAGGCCACCCACCACATCCAACTGCGGTGAGAGAGAAGCCTGAATTTCGTCAGTAGAGTTATCCGCATCTAGCACCAAAAAACGTACACGTTAGTATACCCCCAAACCCCTATGTCAATTATTGAGGCCCGTGTATGAAGCTTCTCAGTTCGAGATGCGCCGTCTGTCAGCGTCCTCTGGAAGACAGATGTGAGACCATCGACCGCCGGGCCCGACATGCTTGCCGATGCTCCACTCGCTTATGGCGAGGGCTTATAGGGGTTAGGGGTTTAGGGTTTAGGGTTTTGCTTGAAGGATGAAGGGAACAAGGTAAGAAGGGTTATAACTACTCGAATTGGGTTGTAAGTAAAGTTACGTCACTTATAAGCCGACTTACCAAGTTGCCCTGATCCTTCAAGTGAAGTGTAGGCGGAAGATGGACACATCACGTGTGATGCAACCTCGGCTTTCAAACCTGCCGAACGTGGAACTTCGTCGACGAAACTGCGCCGTTGCTTGTGCCAGCAATGTCCGTGCCCAAAGAAATGATAGACACGGTTGGAATTCTGTACCCAGAGAACCCAATACCCCTTAATTAAGGAATATAGCTCAAATCATAACACGAAGCCCCATATGATTTAAGCCATATTCCTTACATTAAGGGGTATTGGGCTCTCTGGGTGAAGGGTCTTGCACCAGCATCTTCAAGACCTTTCACACGAGCCACATTGCAAACCCTAAACCCTAAACCGCTTGACAAACGAGGCAATCCAAACAAGTCAAAATTACATCGAAAAAAAAAAAAAAAAAACAGGCAAAAGCAGGACAAGCTCTGATCAAAAAGCAAAGGCAACTGTTGATGATATAAACCCTACATTACCTTGAGGATTCTAGACTGTGGGAATTATGGTATACTCCTTATTATGGGAAATGAAGGATTTATATCATCCACCGAAGGAAACCGTGGTTTCTCCTTACACAGTAGCACATCAGAATACAGTGGCCTTCCACGACATTGCATATGGGGCGTTCAGAACCTCAAGGGGGGTTTTGGTGAGCGCATGAGCGTAACGGTTTTGGGCTTTCGATGCTTAAGGTTTAGCAATTTGGGTATAGGGTGTATTTAGCAGTTTAGGGTTTGAGGTGCAGAGACCAGATTAAAAGGTCAGCATGAACTCACAGAAGAACTCGTCATGTATACAATACCGCAGACCTCCTATCGCCCTGTTTAGAGGACGCGTTCTTAAGGAAATCGTTATAAACAAAGAACCCTAAAAGATAGATAGGTTCTTCAGGGTTCAGGTAGACCCTAAACCCCAAGCAACCCCTAAGCTCCCCCAGAAGACTTCTGTGGCCGATCAATCAAGAAGCTCCCCCGACGCTTTAGGGTTTAGGCTGGGGCTTAGGGTTTAAGGTTTAGGGTTTAAGGTTTTGGGTTTAGACCCAAGTACCGGAAGCTACAACAGGATGGAAGCAGAACCATGATGCAAGGAGCATTCCATGACTCATCGTCGGGCGGAGTTTTTATTCCTTGCAAACCGTCGGAGTGAATAGAATCGCTTGCTGCGTTTGTGATCGCCCCGATACCCTAAATCCTGAACCCCTGAAGTCGCAATCCCTGAACCCTCAACGCAAAACCCCTAACCTTAGATCCTAAAACTTGAACGAACACAACACGTGCGATGAACATGAGCCCCTCAAACCCAGTGAAGCAAATGGCGGCGCAGGCCCGCGAGCCACCGAGCCAATGGTGGTGACTCTCCGGTACTGTTTCGGGTCTGCGGTTTAGGGTTTAGGGTTTAGGGTTTTTTAGGTAGTTTGAGGAGGGTTTAGGGTTTAGGGTTTCTTAGGTAGTTTTGGGGCTGTCTACTTGCATCCTTCGGTCTCACACTTCCACTGCTGCGGGGTGCAGAAAGCTTCTCGGCAACGGCTCTGCGCTGAAAGTGCTCGCTTGGCTATGTCCACCGCGGACCAAACCTTAAAACCGCCAAACCCCTAAACCCCTAACATTAAACCCTGAACCGTAAACCTCAAACCCTAAGCCCTAAACCCTAAGCTTTAAACCTTAAACCCTATACCCCAAACCCTTTGAAGCTGCGATCTTCGTCTTCTTTCGGGAGACCACGGGCTGCGAGATTGGATTCAGGCCAGCTTTTGCAGGGGGCAAAGAAATTAAAGGCTGCAACCCCCAACCCCTAAACCCCAAACCCCCCTAAACCCTAAACCCTGAAACCCTATACCCTAAACCCCCACCGCCCCTTCCCCAGTCGTTTTCTAGCGCATACAACCGCAGCTTCGTGTCGTTGCCTCCAGCAGCCAGCACTTTACCAGACCTAGTTCATTGTTGGGATAGGATTAAAAATGTACATTTTTCTTCCTTATTGGGTTCAAGTACTCATAAAAATGTACCTTGTTCTTCCTTATTGGGTTTAAGTCCCCATCAACATGTAAAATGTTGCCCAACTATGACGAAGAGACCAGGCCACCGCCCGAATGGGCTGCAGGGAGTGACCTTAGGGGCTGAGAAGGCCCCTAGCACAAAAAATGTTAACTTTTTATTGTTACTATTGTTACTATGGTTATTACTACTATTATTACTATCATCATAAATAACTATTGTTATAAGTATTAAACTATAGTAAGATTAAAAAGGTTAAATGTTACCTACTCAGCTTCTAAGTGACTGAGAACTGACATCAGCTGCAAACCAGGATCGTCAGTCACCTTGTACACATACACGTTTCCGTTCGCGCTACCTGCGGCAAGCCTTTCATCAGAAAATGCCAGAGAGAGGACAGCTTCCTGGGCATCATTGCGGCTCTTCTCGTACGAATGTGTCCATCCACCTGTCCATCCACCTATCGAAACGAAAACGCTCAATGACACTCTCCCATCAGCACTCGCAGACGCCAGGTACTTTGCTGACAAAGCCACAGCTTTGACGTCCGGGAGGACTCTGTCCAATGTAGGCCGCAGCTCTGCGTGCGAATACACGCGGACACGCGCGTCCGTGCTCGCTGTAGCAATCACCGTTTCAGAGCATGAGACAGCCGTAACAGGTGATACACCACCTGGCAATGATTGCAGAAGCATCAGCGTGTATTTTCCATCATTCTCTTGAAGCCTCAATTTATCCAATCTCCCGCTGCGGCCGCCAGCAGCCAGGGTTTCACCACACCACACCACCCCTGTCGCATTTCTGTCGTCTCGAACTGCCCGCAACGCCAGGTAGTTATGGGCACGGTGATACACGACAATCTTGCCATTCGCAGTGCTGACCGCCAGATACTGCGCACCAGGCGACGCTGCCAATGAGACGATGCTTGTCTGCGTGGCTGCCGCTACCGTTGCTCGCAGCCAATATTGTTCCTTTCCCTGCTTAAAGAGCTTCTCATACACCCGCAAGCCACCGTCGTCGCCTGCAGCTGCCAGGTACTGATGATGCGCCATACCAGAAGCAAAGACCACTGCGTTGATTGTTGCTTCCGCCTCATCCGACAAGGTTTGAACGAGTCCATATTGCTCCTTATCGGGCCAGGCAGAACGCTCCAGCTCAAGCATGCCAGCTTCTTGGCAGTGTCGCAACACATCCGTGCGCCCGTCCGGCTCCCCCGGCGCCTCACGAAAGCAGAGCCTTACTCCAGGCCACTCAGAGACTTCGTAAGGAAGCAGCAATTCGAAAATCGAAGTCTCCCTGGCGCTCTGGTTCACAAAAACCACGGAGTCAGCTGGGGCATGGCCGCACACAAAGCGGGCAGACTGGGCCAGCAGACTGTCGCCCCTGCCCAGGAATTCACCCTCCAGCGTCACTGTCAACAAGGGCCCGTCCTGAGTCGCTTGCAAATCGTTCCTCGTTCGGCTTTTGTCCACTTCTCCATAGCCACGGAGCGGGCACGCAGCATTCACTACGAGCCTTTTGCCAGAAGAGTTCCCGAAATCGGCAACTGCGCGCACTGCATCCAGCAACTCCACCTGGGTAGTTGTCAAAATTATGGTCCCTTGTTGCGTGCCCTAAATCATAGGTGGCGTACTATATTAGGGACCCGAAAAGGGACCATAATTTTGACAACCGCCCATATGACAAACCTCCCTAAATCCTAAACCCTATAGATCCCTTATAGGAACCCTCAAGGGATCCCTAAAAAGGGACCATAATTTTGACCCTGAACCCTAAACCCTAAACCGCCCACCAAGTTCATGGGCGTGGAGTAGGGCGGTAGGCGGTGGACCATTGGAGCTGATAGCGGAACTGGGAGCTTCTCCTCGAATAGTCATAGTAACAGCAATAGTCATAGTCTAAAAGTACTAGTAATAGTAATTGTAATAGTAATAGTAATAGTACTAGTACTAGTAATAGTACTAGTAAGTAATAGTAATAGTAATAGTAATAGTAATAGTAATAGTAATAGTAATAGTAATAGTAGAAATAGTAATAGGAATAGTAATAGTACTAGTATTAGTAATAGTACTAGTATTAGTACTAGTACTAGTACTAGTACTAGTACTAGTAATAGTAATAGTATAGTATAGTAGTAGTAATAGTCTAATAGTACTTGTATAGTATAGTAATAGTAAGAGTCTAATAGTAATGGTATAGTATAGCAAAAGTAGAATAGTAATAGTAACAGTAATCTTCTCCTCTAAGTACATGGGGTTCATGTCCACGATGCGAACTTGCAGGCTCCTGCTGATGAGTCCCGTTGCTCGGTCTGCCACCATCTCCCACGCATCCTGCATGAATTCCTGGGTTGTGCTTTAAACCCTTTGAAAATTATTTATGAATAGGTTCCCTTTATAAGGAAATAAGGGAAATTACAAATTATCCCAAAGCACAACCCAGATTCCTGCTCCTCTGACAGCAGAAATGCCCTGAACTCTTCGATCCACTTGCCCGTCAGCTGCTCTTGGGTGGCATACGGCATCCAGGGAACGAAGTTGATGATGACGTGCAGCTTCCCAAGAAATTGGGAGCCGAAGGCTTTCCTGTACTGTTGCAACATGTGTCTTCGGATGCCTAGCTTGCGGCGAATGGCGCCGTTGACAACCCAGAAAATAGCATCCAGCCCTTCCGTATCAGCCAAGTGATTGATGGTTTCGTTGAACTGTCTCTCGTCCACGGCTGGGCCCTCCGTGTCACCAAAGCCGGGAATGTCGAAGACGTTCAAGCGAGGTTGCAACTCATCTCCGAAGGCGTGGCCAGTAATCTCAGAGACATTTTTCGTGTGAGAACTCCAGCTGTTGGAGTACCTGCACGATTCATTCATCGTCAAGAAGCGACATGCAGACGACTTACCTGCCCCGGTGAGTCCAGTCAAAAGGATGTTCGTCTCCTCCAGATCGTTTCTCTTCTGGTGACGCCTGTAAAAATCGTAGGTCTCTTTGAGCCTCGGCTCTTGTTCAAGGATGTTTCCGGTAACTTCAATAAAGAATCCCTGAACCCCTAAACCCTTAAAGGAACCCTTAAGTTGAACCCCAAATTGAACCCTTATAGATCCCCAGCAAGCGCCCTAAAGCCTAAACCCCTAAACGCCCAGAAGCAGTGAGTTCCTTTCCCGTCGGAGACTTCCTACCTCGGGCGTCGCGTCCAGCTTCCGCTGAAGGTCTAAAACCTCCCTGAGATGAAACCTCGGCTCCCCCTAAACCCCCTTAGGGGGGTTGAGGATTTAGGGTTTAGGGTTTAGGGGTTTAGGGGTTTAGGGTTTAGGGTTTAGGGGCTTTGGGTCTAGGACCCAGGATTTTGGGACATTTTGGGGTGTAGGGCTTCCGCCCAAACTTGCTTCAATCAGGCAACCCAAGAAGAGAAGTCCAGGTTCCCCTAAACCCTTAACTTTCCCAAAACCCCAACCCTAAATCCTAAACCATACACCCCTAAACCCTTGAAACACTAAACCCAGAAATCCTCAACCCTAAAACCCCAAACAACCCCTAAACCCTAAACTGGCAGACCTGGGAGCAACTCAGAGTTGCGAACCTCCAGCATCAGCCGCAGGGGCTTCTCCAGCCGCTCTCTGCCAAACTTCATGGATAACTCCGCTGAGAGATCGCAGGCCTACAGAGCCCAGATTTTTGTGAGGATCTAGAAAGCAGATCCCCCAGTTTGCTGCCCTATACTACTAAGGGGAAGCCCCATTAAGGGTACTTTTTGGATCCTCCCGGGGGTCTGGGAGGTTTGGGGATTAGGGCCGTCATGTTGAGGGAAGCTGGGGCTTCGGAAAGGCTGGGTCTTCACGGTTTAGGGTTTAGGGTGCAGGCCTGCGAACACCACTGCTGAAAATCTGAGATCCTGCAGGTGATGTGCTCAGCTGACGAGGCTTTGCAGAACGGATTTCCGCGTGCGGAGTGGGTCGTCTTTGCGAGTGTCGCGGTGCGCAGATCGACGTCAAAGAAACGCCGGTCGGCCCTGAAATCGAAGCTTACCTGGGTTCTTGTTAAGGGCCATAGTTTGAGTTACTAAAATAGGGATCTATAAGGGTTCAACTTAGGGTTCCTTTAAGGGTGCTATAAGGGTTTAGGGGTTAAGAGATTTAACTTAGGTTACCTGCATAGGGATCTATAGTAAATGAAATGGTCTCCTTAGTATGTGTGATGCGTAGCTAACTCTCAGCGCGGGCTTGCGCTCTTTTCTCTCGACTCAAGGGCCCTGCGGTGCATGCGTTTGTCCTGACAACATGGCTCGACACGGAACTCCCAACTGGCAAAGCGAAGCCCATCAAGAAAGAGTGTTAGATTTGGGCGGAGTGCTAGTCGCTTCACATCCACCAGAGGGTCGTTCCAAATCTATACACATGAGCCGTTGCAAAGCCTCCTTTCGGAGTGCATAAAGTCCAACCGCCATTATGTGGCGTGTCAACTGGCTATTTCCCAGTCTCTTCGTGGTGCTGTCGGCCAACATGTAAGGCCCCGGTAGCCAATGAATCTTGGCGTTCAACACCTTGGCGGACGTCACGAGGACAGCGACGTCGATCTGGGCTCGTCTATCCAAGCCGGCAGCCCCGCTTCGTCTCTGGTACAAGTCATAGAGAGCTCGGGCATCCGTCACCAGCACGGTGTCGTCTTCGCAATCAGGTTGTCGGACAGCCACCACTGACTCATCAGTACCATAGCGGGACATATCCATCACCCTGGCCTCCGGGATGCAGATCTCGGCATACATCGCCCGCAACCATTCCATTTCGGACAAACCATCGTCCATTGCAAGCGTTTCCGATCCTAACGACGCTTTCACGACGCGTCGCAGCTTATGACTCTTCCAGCAAATGATGCTGGTCTGAGCCATGGCCCCATCCAGGATCGAGCGGTCCACGTAGGCGATCACGAAACCGCCCTGCGATTTCTCATCATCGTTGGCCAAAGAGGCGTCCGACACGCTCATCCAGATGCCATGCTCGAGTCCGATCGGAAGAACTCGGAGGAACACCTTGGAGGTCCGTTGGAGCTCGGAGATCACTTTGTTCGCCATCTTGATATGGCGAATCTGTGGAGGTTTGGATCCCCACGACATAGACATCGCACAAGCAGCAGCCACATCAGGTCGGCATTCCCGTCCAACCCACAGCAGAGAGCCGGCTGCCCCACGCAACATCGTGACCTCCTTCTCGTTCAGCTCGGCCTCGTCACCATCTTGCAAACCCTTCTTTGTCAGAAGCACCGGCCGAAGTTTCTCCATAATGTAGCGCTCCATGTCCACCCTGATCTCAAAGGTAGGAAGCTGGCGGATCGTCCTCCCGAGGTACTCGCCGTAGTTGTCGTACACGATGCGCCACTTGCCGAACTTGAAGCGCTTTTTGAGGGTCTCCATGAGCTCCTGGTGCCGCCCATCGCCCCCTTGGATGAAATCATCCACGTCCAGAAGCACCAAACCAGCGCAGCCGCGGTGTGCCCCGGCCTGGCGCTCAGCCTCATTGAACTCCAGGAAGTACAGGCAGGGGTCGAAGACGCTCTCGACGTAGCCAAGCTCCAGCAGAACCCGCCGAACCGTTCTTCGCCAGCTCGCTGGAGCGTTCACCAAGCCGTACACCGCCGTGAGCACACGGATCAACGTCCACTTCGGTCGGCCCGGTATGCCGGAAGTCGGCAAAGAAGCGTACAGGTTTCCCTGCGGCCTCGTCTGTGGATCAGACTGGCCAAAAGCGCTCGTCACATCCATGATGACCAGCCTGAACTTCTGTGACGAAATAATCTGAAGTGCCAACAGCCAGCATCACCGTAGGAGTCGCCGGAGTTGGCGCGAACCGTTCCATCTCCGACACGTCCGGGTCGCGATGCCCCAGCAAAATCCATCTTGCCTTGGCTTTCCACTGTTGACCCAGTTCACCGGCCTTCTTCGTTAAAACGAACCTAGAGGGAATGATTCGATCGCCTTCTTCAGCTCGCACCCGGTCCGCCTCCTCCTTCGTCTTCAGGAACTCAATCGCATTCCCGTTCTCGAGCGTGGCGACCTCAGCCACTTTGGCAGCATCGAACATTGCCATCTCGTCCTTCGAGAAGTTCCTCTCATTTAATTCTTTCCCGGACTTCTTGGTGAGCCCGACAAACGACCCGTAGATCTCCCGGTCGAGGTAGACCACATCCGCGAAGAGGATCTTTTCAAACAGCTTCTTGTCCCGGCTCGTTGGTCTTTGCCCTGTCAGAATGTCCTCCGGGATTGCCTCCAGTCCAGCTTGGTCTGCAGCGCTGAGCTTGAAAACCTGCCCACAGTTGCACTTCCAGAGCTCACCACGACGGGACACCCACACAGTTCGTCCCCGTTGAAGAACCACATAGCATGGCCCAACTTTAGCCAGTGAGCCACGTCGCCCAGCTCGCCATACCAGAACTGGTTCTCCTTCGGAAAATTCAAGTCGTTGTAGTTCTTGACGTGGTCGCGCTAGTCGAGCTCTGGCCAGCCGCTGCTTGGAGTCGAGGCTCATCAGGGCCTTCCGGGCGGCCTGTCGCATCTCACTGCTTTCTCCCAGGCAGCCTCAGCCGAAGTACTCAAGGCGTACTCGCGACCATCGGCCAACATGTCCAGGGTCAAGGAAGGCTGTCGCCCAAATACCCGCTGCGCCGGGCTGTATCCTGACCTGTTGGTCAACGTCTGGATCGCCCAGGAGGTCTCGAAGATCAAAGCTTCCACCTCCTCAAGATCTTGCGGTTGTCGTAGTTCACGTGTCTTGTAGTAGGCCTCCTTGAACATAGCACCGCGTCGTTCCACTGTTCCAAGTTCAAAGGGCGATTGCCTGTTGATCTCCACAGGCTGAATCCCATGCATCTCCAGCCCATCTTGAAATGGCCCACCAGTGAACTCCTTTCCTTCATCGAAGAAGACACACTGAGGAGCCCCGAAAACCCTGAGCCACAACCGGTTGAAACAACTCCAGGTCAGCGCTGAATTCCTCCGCCTGGCATCAATCAAGCCGAAGGTGCTGTAGAGGGTCCCAAGGCAGGTAATGTTGATCACCGGGTGTTCGGCCTTCTTGGAGACACCGGCGACAAAGAGGACATCGACCCCGATCACCACGTTGAAGTCGTAGAACCGCGGCGTCGCCGCCGGAAGTCGGGTTGGTGGTCGACGTTCCTTGGCACAACCTGCGCAGGTGAACTCCTCAACACACATACTGCACCACACTTTCACGTGTCCCAGCCGCCCGCAGCAGGCGCACAGACTCTCGGTTGTTTGGGTGTCCGAGGTTCACATGAGCACATAACACCTCGGCTTTCTCCCTTACACTGATCTCCTCGGTCGACACGTAGACCTGGTTCTCGGCATTTCCGCCAGCAGCACCCGACGACTGGAAAACTGGCCAACGGTACAGGATTACGAGGACCTTGCAGGCTCGGACCGCTCCAGGAATGCGGCCGGAGCTCAGGTCCAGTCACCGCCGGTGTCCTGTGCTGCCGTCCACCGCATAGTCTGATGTCCTGGGCCAACACATGGAATCGTGGCCCGGTCAGGCTGTCGAGTCACAAACATCACCTGTCCATAGTACTCGCGCCAGCTTTCCATCATTTCTCGTTCACATAGATTCATAGATCATGAACCACATAGTTCAGCTCGACATCGGCCGGAATACAGCTGCCTTGACTCTCTGGGACATCCAGAGGTTTCGCCGGAACTTCAAACCCGCCGGGAATGACCCAGGAGCCTTCGCCATCCTCTTCCAAACCATCTTCGCAGAGGTCGTAGTAGGCGTCCATGGTCCCGATGGTCTTGTCGATCGCCTGGGCCAGCTCCTTCTTGGCATTCTTTTCCAATGTCACCTCGATCGGGTCATAGTCATTCTCCCGAACGCAGTCGATGAAGTCCTGGTCCACCTCCTGCACCACCAGAGTGGTCATCATCGCTTGTAGTTCATATGGTGCACAGGGAAACCGGTTCACATCCAGGACGTTCCATCGTTGCTTTCCCGATCTGGCCGCGATCACCCGGGTGCCAAGAGGACTCGCAACTCGGGTCACCATCGTAGAACCAATCCACCAACTCACGGAGGCCACAGACCTGGTCCACCAGCAGAGCCACCGAGGGCTCAGTAGTCCAGCCAATCAGACTGAACCGGCTCCTCGAGGGGACTTGGCGTTCGTCACCTCGGGGTTGTAGCCGCCATGCTTGTAGTGCTCCTTGATCACCTCCGGCCATTCCGACGCCAGAGTGCTGTCCTTGCACTTCGGGCAGTACTACGTCATGCGCCCACGGTCGATGTTCGTCTCGAGGGCTCGCCGTTGGCATAGTACACACAGACGAATTCCCAGGGCCAGCTCCATCTCGGGGTGACCCAGCCACGCCAGGTGGCAACCATTCGAACCTCCCGCGCATCGCCACACAAACCTCTGTTCCTGCTTGTAGTACATCAGGTGAAGCCCGCCGAAAGGACACATCGGGCACTTCTGGATCAGGGCTGGTGGCTCCACAGACGGCTCCAGGCCGTCCACCTCCATCTGCAGCAGGTCGCGCCCGATCACCTCGAGGTCGGACTCCGGCTCCCTGTCCGAATTGTGGTAGGCCTGCGAGTCGGGAGTTCCAATGTCCATCACCGGTGCTTGAGAAGGCCTCGTCCTCCGGTCGATCGCTGCTAGTGGCAGTGGTGGCACCATAGAGCTCGTCGCCGGGGAAGATGGAGGACGCGTCGTAGCCTTCTTCTTGTCGGACTTCTCGGACTTCTCGGCCTTCTTCGCGAGGGGAGTGGTGTAATCCGGTTTGCGATAAATCATGATGGAGTTCCACTCGCTCATCCTGGAAATCTCCATCTTCGGGATTTGTTCGATCATCCCGCACGTTTGGCATCGGATCCAACTCCACTCCGCGTTCGCTCCGTGCTTCCGTCCAGGTGCTGACACGCCGGTGTTGGTTTCAACACGGGTGTCAGAAACTTGCTTCGGCCCACATGTTCTGCTCGAGGTCGTAGTTCCTGGCCGTCGTCCACCATGGCCAAACGATTGGCCGGCCGGAAGGGCTGAGCGCTGGATTGCGCCAGCAAAGCTGCCTCTCGTTGCTGCAGCTCCAAAGCACGTCGCTCCAGGGCTTCTCGCTGAGCCGCCAGTCTCCGCAGGGAGCGGTGTCGAGGTTGCGAAAGCACCTGCTCCAGAGCGCTGCTGGCTTGATTGTAGAAGGAAAACAACAATCGCAGTGCAAAGCGACGCCATCGTCGGAGGCAAGGGGAGAGTTTGCCCCGTTCTATTCACCACGGAAACGCTGAGTTCTGAAAGGGGTCTCGGGATCGGTCCCTGGTCCCAAACTTCACTCTTGAGAAAGGAGTAATTTTCCGGCACACACCATCGCTTCCCAAACTCACAGATGTTGACTTCTACATGTCCACTCAGCCGATGCTTCATGTACTGAAAAGTGTTCGCTTCCGTGTACACAGCCAGCAGATTGCACATGTCAATGACAGCACCGAGCTTTGTGAGGAGGTAGGCGGGCAGCAAGCAGGGTACACTTCCGGGGACCACTTGGACTCTGAGCACACCCGCCTTGGAACCAAGCCCGATGGGGATGTATGCCACCTTGGTCACTTGTTCAGCCCCACATACCCCGCGCACAGTGCCCCCATCCTCGTTTGTTATTTGCGCCCGAAGTTGGAATTCTCGTTGAAGTAGTTTGTCGTGCTTGTGCAGGGTCTCCTCCCCAATCAGCCTGTGCTGCGCAGCAGTGTCGATCAGCGCACTACATTCACCTATGGCTTCACTCATGTGTGCACTCGCAGCGGAAGGCAGCTCCAGGTCAGATTGACAAACCGCCTTCGGCAGCTGCTCCTCGACAAAAATCGCAAACACTTGTGCCTCAGCTTCTATCTCCTGAGACCAAAACATGCCTTGACCACCCAGAGGTTCCGGGCCAGGCTCTGTCATGAAAAACATGTTGGCGGTGGGTCCACCATTGGTCCGGCCACCTGTGCTGCCACCGGGAGAGCTGGGCCGCGTGCTCGCCAAGGAAGGAGCCCTTCGACGCTGGGGGCAGTCACGACTCCAGTGGCCCATCTGGTGGCACTGATGGCACCGGCTCCTATTTTTCAAGTCCTGAATCGAGGTCCGGGGCTTCTGGAACTCACCACGGGAAAACCCACGATTGGTCCGGGCTTCCTGAAGTGCTCGTCGGTGGTCCTGGGAGCTCGTCCCGTAGATCCCGAAGCCCTTGGTGTTCTTGCCGGCCGCCTTGGCTGGTCCACCGTCTTTCCCTTTGCCCTTGCCTGTTCCTTTTGGCCGCTTCCCTTTCCCTTTGCCCTTTGAGGCCCAACGTTCCGCCGTCTCGCCGTACACATAGTTCATGAGCTCCCCGGCGTACTCCACGGCCTCGGCCTCTTCGAGCATCTGGGGAAGGGGTTCGTGGAGGCACACGTAGACCTCGCCAGCCTCATCCATTTCCAGAAGATCGGAGAACACATCCTGCCCATGGAAGTAGGTCTCGGCCCCGTCATCAGGACCACCATATCCAGCATCCTGGTAGTAGGCGCCGCCATAGGAGTCGTAGGCGTAGTCCTCGCCATCCTGATCCCATTCTTCATCTCCTTCACCCCAGTAGACCCGGCCGGGCGGAGCCTCGTCCACCGCGTCTCCAAAGATCTTCCGGATCGCCTCCTCCACTTTCTTGAACTGGATGCTGCCGTCGGTCAGCACCCGGATCCGCTGTTGCTGGTCACTTGTGAAGCCGCCCTGCCGCAAGACCAAATGTCCAAGCAGGTGCCCACCGGCTTCCGTTGCCAGCAAGTCCAGGCCCTGCTTCTTCAGCTCAGCAAGGCTGCCTTCTTCGTTGCCAGAAACCCGCTGATCGTTTGTCCTTGCTTCCTCCGGCCCTTGAAGATCGCCTCTGAAAAAGCCTGCTCCAGCTTTGCAACCTTCAAGTACTCATGCTGCTCCTCGATCAGGCGAACGATCTCCTTGTAGCCGTCGGGGGCCGTTATCTGCTCAACTGTCAAATGCGACAGCGTAGCAGACAGCCGGCTGCCGTAGGGGATCGAGTCCACGATCCGCTTCCCGATCAAAGTCGGAGGCAATCGCTCCAATGCCTCCACCAGCCACATCCGGAGATTCCGCGCGTACTCCCTGTACTGAGTCTCCGGTCTCTCACCATCCCACCGAGGAGCCGCATCCATTCTGAAGTCAGCAAAGGGTCTCCGGCCGCCGCCGCCAGAGCCATCCAGGCCGTCACCATACGGCGGTGTCGAAGGCGCAGCCGGGGATCTCGCCCGGATCGGCGAAGAGCCCGGCGTCCTCGGCCTCCGGTCCGGCTGGGAAGTAGCCGCTTGTTCAGTCGCCATGATAGCGCTTGGCCTCACACAAAATCTGTTGCACCACAGGAAAACTCGCCTGCCAGGTCAGCAGGCTCCAAAACTTCAAGGAGGGCCTCCAGCAGGTCCTAAGAAGGCTGCCCCCTTGTTTCAACACCTCGCCACGTCGAGGCAGATCAGAGAGCCCAGCTGCTCTCAAAAACAGTTGGTCCACGGGGACCTGGCAAACTTGTAAAAGAGCTCGCTGCTCGCAAAGTTCAGAAGAAATTTCTTCCCCGAGTCCTGGATCGGGTAACCGGAGCACACGTCGGACTCCAGACCGCGGGGGCGTCCCCCCGGAGAGAAAGCGCGGTCTCGGAGCCACTGGTCGTCACCAGGGCTCCGCTACCATGTGATGCGTAGCTAACTCTCAGCGCGGGCTTGCGCTCTTTTCTCTCGACTCAAGGGCCCTGCGGTGCATGCGTTTGTCCTGACAACATGGCTCGACACGGAACTCCCAACTAGCGAAGCCCATCAAGAAAGAGTGTTAGATTTGGGCGGAGTGCTAGTCGCTTCACAGTATGGTCCAGATCCCCGGGAGGATCCAAAAAGTAGATCCCTCAATGGGGGTTCCTGTAAAATACCCTTAGTAGTATAGGGCCCCAAATTAGGGGATCTACTTTCTAGATCCTTCTGGGCACCCTAAACCTAAACCTTACACCCTAAACCAAAACCCTAAACCCTAAACCCTAAACCTAAACCCTAAGCCTGAATCCTAAACCCTAAACCTAAACCCTAAACCCTAAACCCTAAACCCAAACCCTAAACCCTAAACCCTAAACCCCTAACCCCTAACCCTAAACCCTAAACCAAAGCCCTAAACCCTTAAAAGAACCCAGTTACAGACTCCCAGGCCCCTTGGAACCTCTCACTTGGGAATTTGCTTCTGAACGCAGAGGGCTGGCCGCTCACGACAGCACTCCTTAGGGATCCCAAAAAGCACATAAGCATAAGCTTTTACAGGGATATCCTTACCTGAATGGGCTTCATTACAAGGGGGTTTATATGGGACATCCCTATCCTAAGTTTTGCTTATGTGCTTTTTTGGGGCCCGATTCCTGCTCATCGTCCCAAGAGTGATCTGAACCTTCGGGAGATCTACCACGGCCACGTAGACGGTGCGAGTAAAGAATCCGCACAGCTTAAAGGAGCTCCGCATGCCGAATTTCTCTCGAGACAGCTCCATGGTGAGCTGTTGGGAGTTGAGCCGCATGTTCGCTTTCCTGCGCAGAGGCTCCCAACAGCTGTCGCCTGGGCAAACATAAAAGGAGCTGGCCGTGGATGTGTCTGCAGTCAAGCGCAGGACCACCTGGTGGGGCTTTTTTCGGCTGTGAAGGGACGGAGCTCAGAATGCGCATGTAGCAAAGAACATCAAGAACGTAAACTAGTCTTTCTTGCAAACGAAAGCTTCTCACAGGGTTGAGCTTCGGGAGCGAAAATCCAAACACGATCCTTCTCAAGGGTAACTTGATGCCGTGACGGCGACGCGTGGAGGCGAAAGTTAAGTAAAAAAGACATGATCAACAACCAAAAAGACCACTGGGCGGTTTGACAGACTTGGATGGGAGGAAAGTTGCATAGGTCGACGAGGGCTGTTTATCTGTATTGCAAGACCTCTCCTTGCTATAATGAGATGCATGAGAAACCTATGAAAAGTTGATAAGCAAAACGGGATTTGTCGAGCTTTTCCGTTATGCCTTTTGATACGGGAAACGCAAGAGGTTCGACAGGAAAGCTCGCAATAGCCTGCTCAAGACACAGCACTCATTTAAGCCACACTAACTAATTGGCCTAGCAAATGTCCAATGTTCTACCATGTCTCACAAGAACATCGGACAACGCTCAGATACCACGGCGGACAGATAACCTACCACCACCTGATCTTCACCCTCGTCCGGCACGATCCAGTAGTGCACCTTGCCCTTATCCTCGAAGAACTGGCCTCCATGAACTTCGAAGTTGTTGATCTGCGGCGTGAAAAGCCTCTTGTAAATCTGGAGCATTGCGGCTGGGAGATACACCAGCAAAGCTAGAAAGACGAAAACCAAGAGCAGGTGTACTGGCAGCGCACCACGGCGGTGAGACATGAGAGCAGGGACCTTTTCTACCAGCGAAGGGAGATCCGCGAAAAACTTGTCAGACACGTCAGGCTCCAGTGCTGGGCTTGAGACGCTGACCTCGTCTGTCCTGTTGCGAGACGCGAGCTCAATGCCTTCTTCCCTTGACGGTTGACGGACTGCCCAGATCTTCTGGCGCATCCATGCCTGAGACCATTGAACCTGCTCGATGTCTTCTCTTTCCATCAGCAGGAAAGTCGGAAGTGGTCGCGCGTTTCGCATGAGCCACTGGCATTCATGCCATCGAACCTTTGGCGACCGCGCAAGTCCATGCAGGCTCGCTAGGTACAGCACCAGCGGCAGCACGCGCTGGATGCCTTCTAAAGGCACGTCTTTCAGGGGCATTCTGCTGAACACCACACTCTGCCAGAGCTCCACGAACAGCAATGCCAAGTTCACGAAGGCCAAGAAAACCGTAGAAACTCCGATGCGATTGTGCCTAAGGCTTTTGGCAGGCAGTTGGAGCCCGAAGCCTTGCAACATGGCTTTGTCAATCGCTATCCGCCGCAAGTAATCGGCGAGCATAAACGATGCGCTCGCGAGCACGGCGCTGCAAGTGAAAGCCGTGATGGCGAACATCGAAAACCACAGTATCACAGAGCCGTCTCGGAGGGAGACGTCGCTGATAGATCTCTTGAAGGCGATGTATTGAAATGCAACAAGACCGGCGAGGCCAGGGGCATGGCTAGCCAGTGTGTAGATGGCCAGCTTGTACAACGGCTGCATCTGATACACTCCATTGGCGAAGGCCATGTCGCAACCTGATAGAATCGAATTCACGCAGGAAGCGGAGAGGCCTGAGGGTCTAACGCATGTCATGGATTGTGTAAGTGGGACTCCTGTGGCAGCGATGCTTTCTCTGCTTGATAAGAATGTCTGCGAAGCTCGCATAAGAGCTTGTTGTACATATTGGTGGTACTAAGAAACCCGCACAAATTATTCAGGAATCATGAATGGAAGGGACGGCTTTCTGCATCTGCTTCACCAACGACATTGACACATCGCCGAGGCTCGAGGCCATGCGCAGAGGGGTTAATTAGTTCAAGGTTCAATGTTCCGAGTGCACAGGCTCTGCACCAAAGCGTTTGATCACCAGACTCATCCCAAAAGCCGGTAACCACGACCCCACCCAGAGTTGATTACGTCCAACCGGAGCTGAACGTGGCCCTTGAACTCTCGGAACGAACTGCCAGCAACAACCCCGTTTCACTGGCATGCCGTGAACATCCTGGCAAGCATAGTTTGCAAAGAGTCCGGAGAGAAATGTAAAGTAAGGGTTTGATTCAGGCTCACCTCTGAGTTAACAAGAACTGAACAAATGCTGCGAATGCACCTACAAGTAGCTTAAGTTCAGTGCGGTGGGTGGGCCTTAGGGTTCACGGGGCCTGGACTGTCGGTTCTGCAAGTGTAGAAAACACATGTGGTTTCGGCTCACCTTCAACCAGACAATGGCCTGAAACCTATGGCCCGCGTTGCTCTTCGTTTGGCGAAGCTGACATGAAGAATCACACCAGCAGATGTCAACATGTAGGATCGAGATTGAGCGCAGCATAGCCTACCGGGAATCCCTAAACCCTAAACCTAAACCCTAAACCCTAAACCCTAGCCTACCGGGAATTAAGACGCCCAGCCTACTGCCCAATGAAACTTCAGCTCGCACTCGTACACTCATGACCGGGAACCCCCTGCAACCTGAGGCCTATGGGTTCACTTCAAGGGATCCATAGGGATTCTACAAGGGTATAGGGTTTAGGGTTCATAGGTACTTATAAGTGGGGTTATAAGTCCCCTAATATGGTTTCTGCCCAAGTCTGTCACGCAACACGTTCCGGAAAATAGGGGACCCTAATATAGTACCCTAAATAGTATTTTTTTCGGGCCCCAAAGTAAGGTACCCCTAATGTTCGGAAACTCTAAACCCAAAACCCTAGGCCCCTAATTTTCGGACCAGCAATTTCTGCAGCCGGCGCTTCGACGCGCCGCGCCGCAGTGGAGCGCCTGAGATCTTGGCCCTTTCTGTGAAGTTTAGGGTTTAAGGTTTAGGGTTTAAGGTTTAGGGTCTAGAGTTTAGGGGTTTGGGATGTCGAGATATAAGGTTTTGGGGCTTTGGGTTTGAGTTTCAGGATTTATAGGCTTCAAGGTGGGTTTAGGGTCTAGCCGGACAAACAAGGAGATCCGAGTGTAGAGGCTTTATAAAGCTGAAACTGAAGTACAGCTCCAAGGAACCGGGACGGTTGATGATATAAATCTTGCAATGCCCATAAGAAGGAATATACCATAATTCCCCTAGTTTAGGGTCCTTAAAGTAATGCAGGATGTATATCATCAACAAAAGGACTTCTGTTGCGGAATACATCCCTTGGGGACTCTAGGCCCCACAGACCCTACTTGGAGGTTCATGGGTAGTTATAAGGGTCCCTTTAGAGGATGTATAGGGATTCTATAAGGGTATAGGGTTTAGGCTCCATGGGTAGTTGTAAGTGGGGTTAGCAAGTCCCCTAATATGGGTTATGACTATAGTTATCCTACGTATACCCCTACTTGTAACTACCGATGAACCTCCAAGTGGAGCTGCTGGGATTTTAGAAAGCGGAGCTTCCCTTCGTTTGTTTCGGCTCTGGGGCAGCGGAGTATAAGCACCAAGCAGACGATGCAGTTTAGTGTTTAGGGTTTCGGGTTTTGGTGCAATTCGCTTCAGCATGACCCCGTGCACAGCGCTGCTGTAATCTGACCCCGTAAACCCTGAACTTCCAACAAGGGTGCCTCGGTTAGGGCTGCCGCAATGGAAGGCTTCTCGGACACCATCAACACCTGCGGGGTCCATGCACGAAATCCCAAGAAAAGAGCGCATGGTTCTGAACTACATGGTTTCTAAACTCTCAACTCTCAACCCCACTAGTGGGGCTTCGTTTACCTACTTTACGCTGGCCCTGTTGGTCATCGACAACAACCAGCCGCTCCCTCGTTTCCAACACGAGCGCAAATCCTTCGAATGACGGTAAAAGCCTGAGACTCAAGGTCAAAATCGGGCATTCAGCACAAATTACACAGGCGGCCCGTCCAGCATCCTACTGTTATCCACGTAGAGTTCCTACTTTCTACCCGTCAATCTCCAAGAAGGCTCATGCCCCACGGCTGAGTCTCGAGCTCGGAGTTCTCCGGCAATCATCATGCTCGTCAGAGACGCGATCGATAAACGGTTTAGGCTCCAATGTTCCCTAAATCGTACTTGGAGGTTCATGGGTAGTTATAAGTGGAGTTATAGGTCCTCTACTATGGGCTGTAACTCTAGTTATCCTACTTATAACCCTATCTATAACTACTCATGAACCTCCAAGTAGACCCTATACGTGTTAGAAACGCGAACCATGAGCTGAGGATGTCAGACGTCAGGATCTTTTGAGCGTGGTCAAGTTGTTGGGTGCGGGGTGTGCTCTATTGCGAGATATTGGGATCCGCTGTACAAGCTACAGCTTTCCTTTAAGCGTGCTAACGAAGCCGAACAGCTCAAGATAGCTTCAGCACCTGCAACTCACTCACAATGGCTGGCACATGGACTCAATACCTCGGCCGGTAGATGCAACAACTAAACTACTCATGCCGACACATCTCACGCCTGCACACAAACACGCGTGCACACACACAGACACAGACTGCATACAAGCAGTGTTACAACTAGGCCCGTCCACGCAGTCGTCTGCAGTAAGAACGGGAAGCAGTCAACTTTTCTCCGTTGCATCGGTGAATGGGAGCAGGTGGATACTTCTGATCGCTGCTCCACAAGCTGTTAATGCCTCATGCTGGCCAGCAATCTTGTGGGTATGTCGCATGGAAACAACACACTCTCCAACTATGTGAAAATTTATGTGGGTGTACGTGCAGGTGCATACAGACATGTCAATGTCAATGTCTTTCCTTCGTTCCTCGTGCATTCACTCATTCATCCATCCCTACATCCATCCATCAGTCCGTCCATCCATCCATCCAGCCGTACACCAAACAGATACTGATGCAAAGTGCAAGGTAGAAAGACAGATAAATAGATGGATAAGATAGACAGATGCACAAGAAGACAGATAGATAGATGAATAGATGGATTTTAAGAATGATAAAGACAAATGGATGGAAAGACAAAAAGGGCAAAGAGAGAAACAGATGAGAGCGAGAGAGAGACGGAGAGATGGCGACTGAGAAATAAACAGATAGATAGATCGATTGACTGATACATTTCATTGGGTTGAGAGACACAGTACATGCATTTGTTCGCGCCTGCATAAGTCTTTCACGTGTCTATGTTGGCGGCTATGTCTGGGAAGTCTGTGAGTGCAGCACATACCCACACAAGACCTAAGTTTGGGCCGACACATTCAAAACTTTGTGCATGGCACAGAGCCCTGCACCCGGAACACATGAAGATCCTGCCGCAATCGGAACGAATCTAGGTTGGCCCTTGAAAGCCCGTAACCCAAGTTTGTAGATACGACCTCGTAAAGGCCAATGAGGGAAAATCAAAAATATCCCGAAGGCCGACCTAGCGATTAGAAGTGACAGCAACAGGCACCTGCGGCAGTGGAAGATTGGCATGCGCAGCTTGTCAATGCATGCTCCTGCCTCCAGGTCAAAACTTCGAGATCGCATACGCAGGGGAAACTGCCCATTAATGTGCACCATCTCAATGACGTTGCTGCTCCATGGGAACGACAGGCCAGCAACAGGTATCGGGCGGCAGTGGAAGATGGGCATGCAAAGCTTGTCAATGCACGCTACTGCCTCGCGAAAGGGCATATCAAGATCGAACATGCCGTGCAGAAAGTCTGCATCAAATTAATTAACGGTGTCTCTGCTCTACGGATACAAATGAAGCGAGTGGCAACAAAATACCATCGGAAAGAGCCATACTAGTTGCTGCCTGCGCAGATGCCGCCGTGTCAAAGCGAAGACATATAACACCTGCGTTCACGGATCTGCTCTCCAAGCCTGGAAGTTGATCGAAACGGGCATCATGCAACGGCAACAAAGCTTGGACGGCTAGACACGTCCTTGCAGGATCTCTGTCGTTGACGGGTGACATATCGGAGTCACTTGCATTGGCCTCAGAATCTTCCATCATGCCGTGGAGAGCAAGCCAGACCAAGTCCGTAACGAACACATTCGTGAGGCAGAAGTCTGCATGCATCATCGACCAGAGCCAGGGAAGGTCAATCTTTGCTAGAGTCTCAGAAATGTTCACTCCAAGATTGCGGGCTTGCATCAGCAAATAAGCTCCCATACATGCCAGATACGTCGTGAGCCACAGGAAATAAAACCAGGTCTGATTGGTTTGCTTGCTGCAGAGCACGATGACAAGTGAGGGTACGACCCAAAAGCAAATGACAATATTCTGAGACCATACGTCCTCGGTGAGCTGGTTGAAGAACAGCAGAGGGAAGATCGTAACGCAGGGAATCAGCAGCGCTAGCAGCCACAGAGATCCTTGCAAAACACGATGCATGCCGCGCTGCATCTCAGTCTGCATCATTACAAGCCAAATACCGCGAACGGCAGATACGGGAATCGCGAAAAGGACGCCAAATGCTTGCACGCCGAGCAGTGCACCAAACGTCATCCCCAGCACACCAGACACCGTGAATTGCACCAAGTTGTCGAATCTAGTTCCACAGCCAGAAAATGCTTGGGGGAGCTGGGTCAGCTGCATGTAATTTGGTACAAAAGTGCTTAAGGCAGACATCATTGCCACGGCAGCAGCTGCAAAGGCACAAGTCTGGCTTCTGTCCTTCCAACCATGCTGTTCACAAACTGCGGATGCGAATACCAGCAGTAGCAGTAAAGCTTGCAAGGTCAAGGAGAGTGAAAAACACCACTCATACCCCATGAAGGGCTGGTCAAGAACCGTACCTTGGTTGCCCGAGTAGTACTCATTCTTAGCGAGGAATTTCCGGAGCTGCTCGATGCCAAACTCTGTGGCTACCTTGCTTGGCACAATTCCCCATGTGTGTGGAAGGCCATCCCGGATCAAGATCTCCCGGAGAAACGCAAGCAGACCATGCGAGAACCCAAGCCAAAGAAATTCCTTCCGGTAGTCACAAACTGAAGGGCCGTGCCGGTTCTCATCTCTTTGGTCATGCTCCGAGCTTAGCAATCCCTGTTCCAACGAGCTTGCAGTTGAGTGCCATAGCCTGCTCGACATGGCGCTTCGCAAACAGCTGACTACCCGGCCACCGAGCATCCACCAACTTAGAGCGATGCACACGAACAGAATGCGTGCAGCAGTTGTCCACGAGAAATCCAGGCCACTGGAATCAACTCGTGGCAGATGCTCTAACCCCGCCATGAGATCTTGTTCAGATTGAAAAGGCCAGGTGAAGAGCATCAGCACCAACGCCTTCACTTCGTACAGGAAGAAGTTAGACATGAGGCCTGGCCGCCAGTGTCGTTGCACACTTACAAGCATGGTATCTTTAGGAGCATGTGGAACCCAGGACCAGCCATGTTTGATGACTGGCACATAGTCCGTGATGCTAACACACTGGTTTTTTGGTATCGCTGCCGAATGCGTGATAGGTTTTTGACAAGCACAAACAGGATCACACAAGGGTGCCTGCAAGCCAGCCAGCCAACACAATACGAACAAGTAGATACTAAACTGGCTGACAGCTGGTTCAAATCAGATCCCGGAAGCGTTCCAGGTTGCAAGTATCCTTCCTGTTTTGCGTGCCTCCGGATTCACTTTGCAAGCTTCGTGAGACAGAAGCCTGGGTGCTTGCAGGTCAAGTAACCTATTTGGTCGCTCCGGCCGGCTTTAGAATCCGTGGGCTGTTATCTTCCGCCCTGCTCCTGACGCATGCTCCGAGCAGGTGGTGTGCCCTCTCCTAAAGGAGTGTAACAACTGCTGCATTGTGATTTCGTTGGCCTGTCAATCTAGAAAGCTGCCCGTTGCACATGCCCTGCAAGGGTTACGGACATGGTTGCAAGCAGGTTGGTTCGAAGAGACCACTCTGTAGCCGCACCTGTGCGACAGCTTTGCGCAGATTCTTTGACTCGGTTTGTATTCCTCGCCAGAGCGAGTTCCTCTGTTAGAAAACGCAAATCCCGACAGCGACACCGAAATGGAAGCTGCTTCTGAGCGACGAACCCCACATGCGACTGCTTACTTACGAGAAAGGGTCTGCGACAATCCAAGTCTGAATGAGCATCATCAACCGCGGAAATGGTAACACACATCTTCAACGTGGATTGTCCGGCATCGCGTATACGGCTCAGACTTCCAACACGCCAAACAACACAAGGGCACAGATTAGTGCTTCTGTTCAACTGCTACCGAATTAGCATTGCGAATTTAGCAAACATGGACGGTGCCCAGCGAAAGGCCCATCGTAGGCATTGGATGGACAAAAGCAATCACAACTGTCTGGCCAGTCCCCTCTCACGCTTCGACGGCATGCCGTTGAATAACATAGCCGAAACCACGCCCTGAAGCAGCAGCAGCAGCTGTCTGATCCCTGAGATCCCAACAAACCCTCGCCTAGCCAAACGATCTTCATCGCGTGGTAGAACAAGGAAACCAGTGCATCCATTTCCAGAATCCAGATTATCCAAGGAAACGACCGCTGCCACAGACGCTTCAGACACGCTGGGGAAAGAAGGCTCTTGATATCCAAGAGGGGTGCCGCGACTGGCCTCAGGTGAGCATTGATGAGTTCGTCTGCCGCATCCTCCAAACTGCGCTTCACATTCTTCAAGCTCTTGCTGGAGTTCCAAACAATGTCTTGTAGTATCGAGTACATGCTGACGGCGATGACCCATCCAAGTGTGACGAACTGAGACCCAACGAAAAACATACTCAAGCCAGAGAATGGGGTGTGAAGTGCTGTGGAGCTGGACAAGCCCTCCAAGGCCTTGTGAAAGCGGCTCCAAAGCAGTGTAGCGCCCAGCAGTGACGAGACAGTGTACCCAGCCGCAAGGGACAAGATCGCGCCCATGGGCTTCTGCTCTTGCTCTTGTCTGAGCAACATTCGGAAGAACGGCACAGACAACAATGGCCTGCACACCCCGATGATTCCATATGCAAGCCACCATGTTGAGTTGCCACCCAAGGTTTGGTACGCAATCGTGAAAGCGCCCAGGATCGCAGCGGACGGTATGAGCTCCATCATCAAAATGAACGATGTTGACATGTCCACCATTCCTCGCACCCGACGCTCGTTCCAATGCACGGTCGTGAAGACCAAGGCTCCAATGAAGACCCCCGGCGACAGAGCCAGCAAGAAGAAGATCAAGTAAAGCCCAAGATGGGACACATACAAGGCCGTGAAGCTACAGCTGACAAAGGTTCCTGCTGCCGTATGGATATCAAAGTCTGACTTACCCAACACCTCCTTTACAATATCCACTGCGGTGCCGGGATACCAGCTCTCTGAGTGTGATGCAACATGCAGCGCGACTTGCTTGCCCAGGTTCACTCTCAGCGGAACAACGATAATGAAGGCCAACTGCGACACACTAACGAGGGCACTAAAAATGACGTGGCCAAGCACAGTGTCCTCGATGGACGCCTCGAACAGCTTCGTCAGGGGTTGTGGAACTTCTGCTTTGCGAGCCGCACAAGCAAGCGCAAGTCGCAACTGCGGGAGCTGCCTTAGTGTCTGCCTTAGTGCGGCAAGGAAGAGAGGCCAGATGGCATATATATAAGTAACAGCAGTCGCGAAATTGGTGCGCCACTGCATGCATTCGATCACGTCTGTCGGAGCTGAGATACCAAAGTCTGAGAACGCCGACTCCGTAAAACCTGCGAGAGGACCACTTTGGTGCCAAGCCAAGCAAAGAACGGAGAGAGCGACAGAAGACACGGCCCACTCCCAAGAAAAAGTCCAGACACACAGCCCAAGATTCAACAACCAGGGCAGCCATGCAATGTACTTGATGACGGCAATGGCTGTGTCTTCAACGGACTGCTCATGGCTGGGGAGCTTCGGCTGCTCCGCAATGAAAGTCTCAGCAGCCGCAGCTTCTGCATCAACAAACTCAAGATATCCACCAGCGTCCTGTTCCTTGCTCAGCAGGAACACCTGCATATTCCGGCACTGACCTTCCATCATGTGGCATGGAATGAACTGAGCAAGCTCATGTGGGATATGGAGCGTGAAATGCTCAAGCCTCTTGTTCATGGCTTGGATAATATCGTTCAACAGAAAAGTTGGAACCGATTCAGCCATTGGGACTCGTGGATTCCGCAAGTGGAACCCAGACACCCGAGGAGCATGCTCCCCCGTCTGTGCCGCCACCGATATAGCCAAGCTACCATCTGCCTCTTGGCGACCTTGTGCTGCAGCTGCACTCTGCATGTAATGCACTGAAGCTGCAAAAAGCGGCTCTTGGCGGCTGGGGCATGAAGTCCTGACATGTGCACCTGCTACTGTCAGCCAGAGCAAGGAAGATTGTCCCGAAGAGGAAACCGTATCCGTATCCACTGTGAACTGCATCTTCCCAAACTGCAAGTCGTTCCGGAGTGCTGCATCCAGAACGTTTCTGGATGTATTAGATGCATATGCCATCAACTGCTGAGACCGCGCCCAGAACAGCCCTTCAAGCAGAGATGTGGAGAGGCGAATCGTGCCATGACCGTCTGCACTCAGGCTTGCTGGGATGCTATGGGAGCAGAGACGCGTCACCATGCCAGAGCTTACTTTCCAAATAGCTTGTTTGGACAAACCAAACTGCTGAGCTACAGCTGCCAAACTCTCGCCATCCTTGACCTGCAGAGACAAAACTTCATCTTTGCGAAGGACGCTTCCTCGTCCAATGGAGACCGTCTGAGTGCTGTTGTCAGCAAGCATCCAGAACAACAACCCTTGTGCACCACCCGGCTGCGTTGTGAATTTGACTGCAGGATCTTGGGTCGGTTGCGCTGGTCGTATGTACCGCCAGATTAGTCGTGGTACGAGCGGTTTGATGTATGACATCCATTGGGACATCTGTGACACTGGACAAGTTCCATCAACACAGGTACACCTGGGGCATGTCACCGACAATGAGAACTTAGTTGCATTATTCTCCACTAGCTCCATGAGTCTCGCTTCCACTGTCAATGAACCAACAAAGAGCTTTACGGCCACTTGAGAACTGTCTGCCCACGAGAATACCAAAGAAGATGTACCCTGCTCTGCAGCTTCTGCCCCCAATTCGCGGAAGTCATATGTGAGGTCTTCCTTCGAGCGGAATGTTGCGAAATTAAGACCAGATCGGCATTGTCGAATGCCACGCTTCTCGGCACTAACCACAAAGAAGTTGCCGTTGCCCTCAATGCAAGTATGAACCGAGCCAACCAAGAAGCTCGGGTTACCAGTGCCACCAGTACCTAGGATCTTTGGCGGTGGGAACTGCAGAGACGCGTGCACTCCAGGTGCAAAGTTCAGGCCTGAAGGCAGAATCTGATCATCCTGCCAACTCTTCCTGATTTCTCCTTGTATGTACTCGAACGTCCCATCAAAATCGAAGCGATGAACATGCTTGTCAGCTTCTGTGCATTCTCCGGAGTTGTGCTGCGATGTGGATGTCAGCCAAGTAAACGACGACCTCGCCTCTGGCAATCGAAGCTGAGCCGTTAAGTGTCGAGTCTGCTGTCTCCATATGTTTCCATGGCAACTGCAATTAGCGCTGTACGGCTCCTCCGTGGACTGGCAATCAAACAACCCGAGCACGCAGGAAGGTTTTCCCCGACGATACTTGGTGCACTTGTAATGATGCTCGTCACTGCCACTGGTACCGCGGATCTGGACTTCGAGCTTCATGCTGAAACGTACAGTCTGGTCAGGTTCACTCAGCACCACCTGAACGCTGTGAAGCTCTGCATGTGGATGTGGCCCAATGTATGTGTCTGACTGACGGAGAGCTCTCGAAATGCTCTGTAGACATTGCTGGAAATACACTCGAGCCTCGCGGTTCACCTCTTCCTGGGTTTTGGAATACGTAGCAGCAGCAAACATATTCTCCACATCGCAGTGCCTGCAGTTTTTTCGTCGAGCACAAGGCGGGTCCCTACTGGTCTGTGAAGTGTCGGTTGTGCATGCTTGAATTTCCGTGAACACCAGTCTTGCACTTCCGCATCTATAGAACGAAAACCATCTACTTTCTGATCAAGCCCCGTAACACGTCGGCGATGCTGTGCGCCACCACCAAGCCCATCCAAGCGGCGAGTCGCTTCATGATGGCAACAGGCTGTGAACTAGAAATGCAAAGTCCTTTATCCAATCTGATGACAAATCCTGTTGTCACTAATTCTCAAGATAATGGAACAATTGCCTAGCATCGCCATGGCTGGAGGGCTGCGGAAGCGGCAGAAGCAGTTGCACTTATCCATCCGGGAAGCATGGATTCTTCCTTCTCTGGCTTCCAAAAACCCTAAACCCTAAACCCCAAATCAACTCCCAGCAGATAGACCACCAAGCACCAGCATCAACTAGAAAAGTCGGTCCTATTTGTGGATAAGTGTGGTAGGTCTGGAACTACCGAAAGAACCAAAGATAACCGCACCAACTTCCAGTCCGACTTCAGCGTGTAAACGGCCCCACTCCTCTGACTCTCATGTGCTGCCACCTCCGGCAAAGTGGGGAAAAGTTTGGGTTTGGGGTTAAGGGCGTGGAGTCCAGAGTCAAAGAAAGGTTTAGGGAGTGTGAAGTTCACAATTCAAACCTTCAACTTCCACTGCCAAGAGACCTTGTTATTTCCACCGAGCAGTGCTTGTTTCGGCAAAACGCAAAGAACTTGAGATAATTTCAGCATCCAATCATCTCTCAAATGCGATCCTTTGCACGATACTGCTGCTGCCTTCAGCAGACGCCTCTCACCGATCCAACCAGACATGGATCTTTCATCTGGGTAAATGGATGATATAGCATTGCTGTATCATTTGATATTATTTGATATGACTGATATGATAACAGATGATAAGTAGATTGTGGCAACCACCAGTCATGTCATCTGCTCTTCCCACTCGCTGGATTGTCCTACATTAAATCTCCCCAGTGTCCCGCCCTACGAGCCCAATACTACTGAGGAGAGCATATTGGTAGGGTTCGACCTGCAGCAGTAGCCGCGGCCTCCGCCGCTCTTCCCCGCCCGGCATCTCAGGGGGCTTCCGTAAACGTCATCAGCTCCCGCGAGAGGTTCCAGAGCGGGTCATGGGAGGAAGCGCTCGTGCGCCGCCGGAAAAAGTAGCAGGCGCGTCTACGCCGGCCCTGCATGGCTCGGAAAGAGAGGGTGTGCTTGAATCCACCAGAGCTGGCCCAAGAAAGGGGTCCTTCGTGGTGGACGAAATGGAAAGAAGCGAATCCACGGCGTAACGAGGGTCGTTTTACCCAGACCCTCGATCTCGGAGCGAGAAGGGTCTGGAATGACATGAAGAGCGCCATACGTTGTGGATAAAATGAAAAGAAGCCTTGCGTTGTGCGGAGCGGCCAAACGAGTGTCGTTTCCACAGACCCCCGATCTCGGAGCGAGAAGCGAGGTCTGGAACGACATGAAGAGCCCTGCGTGGACGAAATGGAAAGAAGCGGAGCTATACGGCCTAACGAGTCGTTTAATCAAACTTCCGATCTCGGGGAGTCTGGGGACGAACTAGGGTCATTTACCCAGACCGCCATGGAGAGGGCTGGAACGACATGAAGAGTTCTGCGTTGTGGACAAAATGGAAAAAGAAGCGGAGCTACGGTTTGACGAGGGTCATAAACCGAGACCCCTAATCTCGGAGCAAGAAGGGGTGTTGAACTTTTCGACTGCTCTTCCTTTTCTCAAAGATTGTGCATTGAACGACAGCAAGATTCACCTACGCGATTACTCTGATTGCCAGGGCTGCAATGGCAAATGGACTCGACTGCACTGTCGGTGCTCCACCGACAACATTGCTTCAAGGAGCTCCATTGGAGCAGTTCCAGTTCGGTTAATGTATTCGCAGCTGCGTCCTATGTGCAGCTTGATATGTAAGGTATATACATATAAAGCAAAATGGAAAATATTCAAATGGAATTGATGCAGTCACTCGCACAACACTCGCTCCTTTTGTTCTCTGGCAGGAATGCAGATCGTGTTGTCCGAGCAAGGAATGGACCTTGCAGTGAAACTGATCTGCATGTTTCCCCCATCCGGTGAGATCGAGGTGCATCAAAAGGCACCGACCCGTCACCGATGAAGGAATGCAGGATGGTCAATCTTCTTGGAAGATGGCCAACGAAAACTTCGCCAAAGTGATGTCGATGCAAACATCATGACTGAATAAAAATGCACACGCGAGTACAGCCACCAAAATCCAAATGCCCGCATTTGTACCCACAGAAAAGGGAAGAGGTGGGTGGGACAAAATGTCAGCCTGCGATGCAGGCGAGCTGGCAGCTGCGAGCCTGCTTGCTGCAATGGACATGGAATGTCATGAAATGCAGCAAGCATGCAAAACATTACCAAACACTCGTGAGCAAGCACACATACCGTTCGGTTAATGTATTCGCAGCTGCTTCCTACGTGCAGCTTTATATGTAAGGTGTATACATATAAAGCAAAATGGAAAATATTCAAACGGAATTGATGCAGTCACTCGCACAACACTTGCTCCTTTTGTTCTCTTGCGGGAATGCAGATCGTGTTGTCCGAGCAAGGAATGGACCTTGCAGTGAAACTGATCTGCATGTTTCCCCCAAACGCAAAACTGCCAGAGAACCGAAGTCGCGCATCAATTCCACCAAATGAAAAACGTGCTGCTCCCAATGGAGAGCCACTCGGAATGGCGAAAGAAGGCTTCCATGAAGAAGGAGAAACTGCAATGCAAGGCGAGGCATTCCAAAGTGCCTTGAGCTGAATGCGCCGGCGCCTGGCCGGGCTCCAACGAGCCGGCAATGCATCAGGAGGACTCCAGCGGCTCAAAAAGTCCGCTTCTATATTTTTCGGTCCTGCGATGTGATGCACGTCTAAATGGATACCCGTAAAACTGCTTAAAATGGCCAATCGCTGCACAAATGCAGCAAGAGGCCAGGCCGTGTTAAACAACTTGTTGGAAGTGGCTTCAGCCCCACTGTTATCGCACCACGAATGCATGCGGACTGCGAGTTTGCAACCTGGATTCAGAAGACTCAGCAGCCAAACTTATGCAAGCTGACCAAGGCACTCGTAACATGTAATGTCCTTGTGAGCTTCAGACTTCAAAGGCAACTCTGCGAAAGCAAAATCCTCCAATGTAAAACGTTCCGAAAACCAAAACTCACCAGCTGGAAGTGCAATGTAGCCGCCGATGGCAAATGTACGACCATTGCCCATCGCGTCTGCCGCTGCCTCGACATTGAGTTGCTGCATCGGTCGGAGTGCCCGCCAAATGGAGGCAGTGATGACCACTCAAGCCAGAAATGTAGAAGGTTTCTGGAAGACAGACTCAATGCACGACGTTTTGAAGCTGAATCCGCGATACGGAGCCAGATATCCTTATCACCAAGGTTGCAGTTCAAAAGCTCACGTTTACTGCTGACTTTGCGGTGCCGGACAGCCAGCACTCGACTGCCCACAGTTACAGCCGAACAGGCAACCGAACCAAATGCAAAGTGTCGTTCAGGCAGGAAATGAAGGACTGCCAATCGTTCTGACGAACACTGAAATTAGTTGCACGTGGTGTGTTGAGGTCCTGGCAAAGAGACCTCAGCCAAAGCCTCGCAAGAGGAAAAAGCTTGAAAAGCCATTGTAGCACACCACACAATTTGCTCAATGTAACCCTGTCCGTGTATTTGCCACGAAGTGCCGCAGAAATGACTGAGTGCAAACGTTCGAGCTTGTCGGCAGGAATGCAGAGACAGCCCATACCGAAATCAAGCTCCCACCCTATCCAACGGATGGAGTGCCAAAAAGTGTGCAATGTAAATAAGCCGATGTAATGTACGAACGAAAAATGCACCAAGGCGAGCAAACCAGAATGCAGAAAAGGCAGCTCCAAATGGACAAACTGTACAGAAATAAAGCTTGGGGCCCACTCGAATGCCAAGAAGACCTGCTCTGATTCGCGAACCATAATGGATTTGTGCGCTGCCTGTACATCCAAGGACCATGCTGCCACGGGTTCATGCTTCCCACGTAGTGGCCAGAAAGCTTGAATTGTCTGTAATGTAGGAAGTGCCGACCTCTCAAGAATTTTGGCAAGAAGCATTGGTACCACAAATGGAAGAATCGACCAGCAGACGAGGATTGCGACCCTCGGAATGCACAATGTTGAGCTTGCCCACTGCCACGTTGGGCCAGATTTGACGAGCAGCTTCCAAAGATTCAATGCAACGCAACGCACCAGCGTTTGTCCACCTCAATCGGAACCAGCTCTTCCAGAAGCACTGGGTCGTCCTCGCCCCCTGCCAATTGTCAAGACAGACAGTCAATGCATCTTCAGAAGCAGCGACCAGATGGATCAAAACAGCCCGATAATGGAATATCCTGTTTGAAGCCAGTGGGACCCCACTCAGCAATGCACTAAACTTAAACAAATATCCGCGTCCTTGTAAGGTTGCCCGGATTTTACAGACCAGTCAATGGAGAGAACCCTGAGACTCAAGCCAAGCAGTGAAAAGACCTCGGAGTTCGCGAAGCTTCGCTTCGGAAAACAGATGCTCCTGGATGGATGTGTCAGCCTGTGGCGAATTCTGGAAGGAACGCAGGCTCGGCCACACCAGGAAATTAATGCATGCCACAACGACTTGAAAATTTCGTCTGTTGATCGTTCTTGACCACTCCAGTCAGAACGGCTCTGGAGATCCCATCGTCCACCCATGCATGCGGAGAAGAGTCGCAGAGTTTAACTGGAATGCACGACCATGCCTCCTCCAACGAAAAGGCACTAAGCACTTGCAAAGCTTGGAAATGAAAAGTATATCGCATAATGCTTCCACAAATGCAGGAGGGTAAGTGGAAGTGTCATTTGCAGTGTGACACCGACAACACTTGCAAGAGAACCAGCGATGCAAAGGAGGCTGGAGGAGGAGGGTGGTGAGCCCAGCGCGGGAAACAAGCCCTGGCAGGAAAAAGTTCTTACATGGAAAAGTCCTGAGGGCGGAAAAAGCCTGGCATGGGAAATGAACCTCCTCCACAAACAGAAGCCCTTAACCGGAGGCAGCCTTGGAACGGAAAGGGCCTGGGGCAGGAAAACGCCTGAAGCAGGAGAAACCCAGTGACAGGAAAGAGCCTAGGAC